TTGTGACCTAGGCTGTTACGTGATCTGTTTTAGAACATGTTTCATGTGCACTTGAGAAGAATGTGTATTCTGCTGCTTTTGGATGAAAAGTTCTAAATATATCTGTTAAGACAGTCTGGTCCAGTATATCGTTCAAGGCCGTTGTTTCCTTATTGATTTTCTGTCTGTATGATCTGTCCATTGTTATAAATGGAGTATTAAAGTCACCTACAATTACAGTATTATTATCAATAAGTTAGCTGTTGTTTGTAATTAATTGTTTTATATATTTGAGTGCTTCATATATTTATTTACAATTGTTTATAATTGTTGGGTCTTCTTGATGGATAGACCCCTTCATTATGATATAATGTCCTTCTTCATCTCCTGTTAGTCTTTGGCTTAAAATCTAATTTGTCTGATATAAGTATGGCTACTCCAGCTTTCTTTGGACTTCCAGTAGCATGATAGGTGGTTCTCCATCCCCTCACTTTCAATCTGCCTGTGTCCTCAGGTCTAAAATGGGTCTCTTGTGGACAGCATATAGATGGATCTTGGTTTTTTTATCTATTCTGATACCCTGGGTCTTCTGATTGGGGCATTTAGTCCATTTACTTTCAAGGTGACTATTGAAAGATACGGATTTAGTGTCGTGTTATCTGTAGGTTTTGTGCTTGTGGTGATGTCTGTGGTCCTTTGTAGTCTTTGCTGCTTTCCACTCACAGAGTTCCCCCGTAGGATCTCCTGCAGTGCTGGTTTAGTGGTGATGAACTCCTTCAGTTTTTGTTTGGGAAAGCCTTTATCTCTCCTATCCTCAATGACAGCCTTGCTGGATAAAGGATTTTTGGCTGCATATTTGTCCTATTCAGCACATTGAATATTTCCTGCCACTCCCTTCTGGCCTGCCACGTTTCCATGGACCGGTCTGCTACTACCCTTATGTGTCTGCCCTTATAGATTAAGTCCCGTTTGTCCCTAGCCACTTTCAGAATTTTTGTCTTTGTATTTTGGCGGTTTCGCTATGATATGTCATGGTGTTGACATGTTTTTGTTGATTTTGAAGGCAGTTCTCTGTGCCTCCTGGACTTGGATGTCTGCTTCCTTCCCCAGATTAGGGAAGTTCTCAGCTATAGCTTGGTCAGATAAACCTTATTATGAGGTTTATTATGTTTCATTGAATCACTTAGGTCTCTAATTCTCCCCTTGTGGTCTAGTCATTTCTGTCCCTCCTTCTCTCAGTTTCATCATTTTCCATATTTTTATCTTCTATTCTGCCCTCTGCTTCTTCCATCCTTGTTGTCACTGCATCTAGTTTATTTTGCATCTCATTTGTAGCGTTTCTTAATTCGTTGTGAGTCTTTCTTAGGTCCTTGATCTCCGCAGCTAGAGATTCTCTGCTGTCTTCTATGCTTTTTGCAAGCCCAGCTATTAGTCTTAATGACTATTGTTCTAAATCCATGTTCAGATACATTTTTTATATCTGTTTTGAGCGGTTCTCTGGTTGTCATTTCTTCCTGGAATTTCTTTTGAGGAGAATTCTTCTGTTTTGTCATTTTGGCTAGTTTTCTTTTACGTGTTTTAATAGCTTGTTATGTGTCCTATACCTGTGAGCACTACTATATTAAAAAGGGGTCATACACTGTCCAGGGCCTGGCCCTTCAGGAGGTGTTTTTGGAATGTCTTGCATGCTCCCTGTTGTTGTGACTCTGTTTGTGTTGTTTCCCTACTCGTAGTGGTGGTTTGGACCTTCCACCAGCTGTGCTTTGATTTGTTTCTTGAAGTAACCCTGGAAAAAAATGGAAAAAGGTGGAGGAGGGGCTGGAAGAAGCCTTATCCCATACAAAGAGAGAGATGACAGAGGTAGGAAAAAAAGACCAGGCAGAGAATCAAAGAAACTATAAGGCTTAATCCAGAGAGAGAGAGGAAAATAAAGAAGGAGTTACAGAAAAGGTGTAAAAAGAATAGAGTAAAATGCCTGATTAAACAGACAACCCGAACAGAGAAAGAAACATAAAGAAAAACACACACACACACACACACACACACACACGCACACACATTCAAAATAAGAATTGACCAAAAATCAAATCAGAAAATGCAAAACTGCAGGACAGTTGGGTGTCGCTGCCTGGGACTGGTGGCTGTGCTGGTCTGGAGGAGGGTCCGTCCGGTTTAATCAGTGTCAGTCTCTCGTAGATACGCAGTTACCGGGCACAGAGGGGTGAGGTCCCCCCTCCACTGCGGGGCCGCTGTCCTGTTTCCTGAAACTCCACCTTGTTGGTGATGGGGAGAAAAATGGCAACACCCCAGTCTATCCTCCCTCTACGGGGTGTCCCAAACCACACTGTTCATGCTGTCCTCTCAGGGCTGCGCAGGCACGGGTAGCCGGTTTGTCCCGCTCCACAGTCTCTCGTGCCTCCCGGGCGCTTGGCTGAGATTAAAATCCTGATGTCTTAAAGGATCCCACTCTACGTGGCCTGGTTCTCCAGAACCATAGCGCCACTCCCCTAATCGACAATGGGCCTCTGGCTGGCGCCTGCGGGGTCTTTTGTCCTGACCCTGTATACCCTCTTCCCACAGTACTCAAGGGAGGGGACTGCTCCCTCCCAGTGTGCCCCCAGATCATTACAGAACCCCGGGGCCAGCTCCTATTCCCTCCAGGGGCACGCACACGGTGGGCTCGGGTCCGGACCACGTCACGCAACCCTGAAAACTCTGATCTTCATTCCTGAGGCTGTAGTTTTCATTCTGTCTGTGGTCCAGAGAGGTTTTTCTCTTGTCCAAACACAACCCCACTCTTCCACAGCTTCTCTTTCTCTTCCTTTTGTTTCTCCATCAAAGGGGTTCCCTTTTCTCCATGCCTACGCCACATGTTTTATCTCTCCCAATTTTCAAACACCCACTTCTGTCCTGCCAAGCTGTCTCCCGACACCCGATGTTTCTGTCACTCTGCAGCCTGGGTTCCTGGAATTCCAAGTGTTCTCACCTCAATACTGCTGTGTTTGAGGGATGAGATAAATTCCAATTCCTCTACTTCTCCACCATCTTGGCTCTCCTTTGTTCAGTGTATTTGCATGTGCACACAAGCCGGGGAAGGGGCAGAGAGAGAGAGAGCAAGAAAGGGAGAGAGAATCCCAAGCAGGCTCCACGCTGTTAGCACGGAGCCAGATGCGGGACTCCAACCCACGAACTGTGAGATCATGACCTGAGCTGAAACCAAGAGTTGTACACTCAACGACTGAGCCACCCAGGTTCCCCCAAAGAGCATGCGACTCTTGATCTCAGGGTTGTGAGTTCGAGCCCCATGTTGGGTGTAGGGATTACTTTAAAAAAAAAAAAAAAAAAAGTAAACTTAAAAGATGAAAGCCTGGTTGTCCTTGATAGGAATTTGAATTTCAATGCATTCATTCTTTCAATAAGGGTTTAAACTGGACCAATTTGGCCTCATGTCTGTGGCCTCTCTTTATGTTAATATTTCTAATGATAGAATTTGTTGTCATTAGCTATTTATTGAAAGTCTGAAAATAAAGTCTACTTCATGCCAGAAATCGGTGCTTTCATATGAGATTTTATTTAATCCTTAAAATAAGCCTGAAAAATAGATCCTACCTCATTTGATAGGTGGGTAGTCAAAGACAGAGGTTATGTAACTTGTCTAGGATCCTCAGTGGCACAGTAGGATTCGACCCACTGGACCGTTAGACTATAAAACCAGCTTTCTGCTATGTCTCTTACTGGGTAAGAATTTTAATGTTTTCTGTTACTAAATTATTAAGGGTTCAAAAGTTAAAATTTATAATTTCAGAAATAATACTTGGGTATTAGAAGAAAACTAATTTGACCCCTGGGTATTTATCTAATCTGGAAATAATTCACAAACATTATTGAGCCTTCTGAAAGGTTTATGCCTCTTGAATATCCTCCTTTCTTACCACCTCTGATGAAAGAATTCCTGTGTACTCAATGAAGGATTTTAATGATGAAGTAGCTGTGCAGTATCACATGCTCACATGTTTAGTGAGGATGGGGGTAGATAAAGGGATGTCATTGTAGCCTGTTGGTGAGGGTGTAATTAGTACAACCTCTTTGGAGGCCACTTGGGCAGTTACTTCCCAATTTAAGACGTGTACCCATTATCCAGCCGCTCCATATCTGACTGAAAGTCCCCACTTGTGCGCAGCGATCACACGAACACGCACGCACGTCGGTAGGTGGGGGATTGGCTGGTGAGCCCAGACTGTGGCACATTGATACTGTTCAGCTACTAGAGTTAAGGGAAACGTCTGTGTCCTGATGTGGCAAGCTCCCACATGTGTCATATGCGAAGAAGGCAAATTGAGAGCCCCATGTGTGTAAAAAGAGAAAGTGTATGCTTACCCCTTTAAAAAGAGTAATTAAACCAAAAGTAGAAATTCTTTGTCAGACCTATAGTTAAAAAAATAAATAGGTAAAATGTAATTTTATATGTATAGAAAATGTCTGAAAGGTTATGCCTCAGTTTTTTTATGATTGCCACGCAGGGAGGTTTTTCCTTTGTACACATTTATTGCCTGAATGTTTTATCAGGAGCAAGTATCACTTTTTGATCAAAGGAAGCTGTTAAAATGGACTCACATAAAAGTTTTTCATGCCATACGATTTTTAAAAATCCAGTGAAAAGTCAGAAAAAGAAGTGCACGTATATCAAGTATTGCTGTGAACTGTCCACAGGATTACACTCACCATTGCTTTTCTTCTACCTCAGTATTATTTCTGTAAAATCGTGAGAATTCCAACTTTGGCTTAAGTTCTGGGGCAGGTTAACCTAAAGCGTACGTCTGCTTTTGTCTAGAGTCCCTGCCCTCTTCCTAACCCGGTTCCCTGGGTGGGAGTCTAGGTTTTCAGTGGGGAAGTGGGGTCAGTCCGCCTGAGCGCGCACACTTGGTGTGAAACGGGCACGGACCATGAAGGGTTACCTGTATCATCTTACATTCTGAAACTTGTTTTTTCCTGAACTGCTCTTTCTCCAACTTTGTTGTAAGGAATCAACATCATCCCGACCTCCATCTCTGGGCTTGTTCTGGAAAGCGAAAAGGCCAAGATCAAGGAATTGCGGGGGTAGAGAAAAAAATGACAGCACAAGACACAGGGAGTGTTGAGGAGAAGAAATACCGTGTTCAGAACCATAAAGAACCACCTCGTGTGCCCCTAAAAATGGAAGGAACTTACATAACAAGTGAGCACAGCTACCAAAAGCCACAAAATTTTGGTCAAGACTGCAAATGTCTCGCAGACCCTGGGAGCTCAGACGACGACGATGTTAGCAGTTTTGAAGAAGAACAAGAATTCCGCAGGAAAGATAAAAACCGTTCACGGTATTCAGTGAAAGAAGATGGGATGCCTGACAAGGTAGAACTATCTCATTTGTTTTGGCTTGGAAGATAGGATAGAATGTAGGAAAATTTTCTAAAATCAGACAACTGAATTCCCAGTAAAATTATGCTTATATTTCCAAGTTCACGGGTGCCTGGTTAGGGTGAAAACATCTTTTGCTTCTCTATAAGAAAACACTGGCCATTTGAACATTTAATTATCCCCTAGTTCAGGATTGTAGATGCGGTCAACTTTTGCCCTGACCAAAGTCTCAGTTTTATAAATGCACTTAGATGCCTCCGAAAACCATGAGCCACAGTTTTTTCCAAATGAAGATGTCTGTGTGTGAGAATGTGTGCGTGTGTGCGTGTGTGTATGTGTTAATATAATTCGTCTGCTCTTTTTGTGTGTTTCAGATAAAAGATGGTGCTCTAACCTTTTTAAAACCATAGCACGTTCGCGTCTGCGTATCAATTCCATTAGGCGATACAGTGGGTTTTTATAGCTCTTTGTACACTGAGTATTTATAAACTTCTTTCCTAGTCACAGGGATTGTCTTAGTGATGCCGTTTCCTCATTTTTCATTGATTTTCAGCTAGTAATGCCACTAAAATAATCCTTTATTTTTCTGGCCTATTTCATCAAGAAATCACGGTAAATAAATTTGGGAAGCTTACATTTCCTGATATTTGTGGCAAATTATTTTGTGAAATGCATATCCCTTTTATGAAATGAATTCTTCCTGGTGAGTCTCGGTTCAGATTTTCTGTGTATGTGTTAAGCAGTTTACACTTTTTTTAAGTTTTTAAAAGATTCTTAACTTTCTCTTGCCTCATTGATTTAATTGCAGCAGTTAATTACAGCCTGCAGTTAATTTGACTTTAAACTGGCCTTTGCCAGTTTTCATGATTTTTCCGTCATTGCTTTCTGCCTTCACTCCGCTTATGTCCTTAGTTTGGATTAATCGAAGAAGGAGTCAGTCTAAAATTAGCTGGGCTTTTTAGGTACAGAGTATCATTAGCGACTTCCTTTCTTTAGCATGTTTTATTGAATGACTTCCACCCTGTGTGGCCCTGTGCGAGGCATCGTGGAGAGACATGGAAGGCATTTTTGCTCTTCTAAGGACCAGCAGATAAAATGTAATTATATGCTAGCACTTCCTTTAAGACTGTTCTGTGAGTCAGGTTGGATTTCACTGATCATTGTGGTAATGAGGTGTTTCATGCTGTCTTTCCCGTTATGACATTATATTTCGCCCCATTCTGTTTTTTTTCCCAATGGTTCTTTGGAGAAGAATCCAGCTGAAAGGAATACGGTATTTATTTATAATGATAAAAAGAGCACTGACGACTCCGGACACGCACATCTTCAGTGGCAGCTCAATCTCCTTACACACATAGAGAATGTCCAGAAAGAAGTTGCCAGCAGGATGGACCTAATAGAAAAAGAAGTCGATGGTAATTTTAAGAAAGAACTAAAATACAGTGACTCTAGTATGTAAAGTGTCCGTTGTTGTTACAGAGACATTATGTGAAGTGTTATGTGAATTATGGGGTGGGAACTGTAGATCCTGTCTGTCCTGATGGAGCGTCTTGATCATTTACATCTCGTTTAACACAGATGGCATTCAGGGTGTTTTAGGCTGAAGACAGTATGACTGGATGTTATCTTGGTTGTTTTTAAGTTGGGTGTTTATTGGACTTTAAGACACAGAATAGATGAACATAAGGGAAGGGAAGCAAAAATAAGATAAAAACAGGGAGGGGGACAAAACATAAGAGACTCTTAAATATGGAGAACAGACTGAGGGTTCCGGGAGGGGTTGTGGGAGGGGGGATGGGCTAAATGGGTAAGGGGCATTAAGGAATGTCCTCCTGAAATCAGTGTTGCGCTATATGCTAAGTTGGATGTAAATTTTAAAAATTTAAAAAAATTTTTTTAATTAAAATTTAAAAAATAAAAACAAATAAAAGCTAAAGTTGGATATTTATTAAATACTGCCCATTTGCTGGATGCAGTATAAAGCACATATGGAATATTTATTAGTTTCATTGAACTGTGATTTTTTTTTTTTTTCTTTTTTTTTGGAAGTTAGTTTACGGACCTTAAGCATATTTAAAATATGGGGGAAAATCCTTTGTATCTTTGCTATCACTTTGGTCAGTAGGTCAGTAAAATTAACAACAGGAAACTCCTGCAAGCTGGATAGGTAAACCTTAAGTGTGCAGACACATTTTCAAATGGTTTTCTTTTATAGTTTTGTTTTTATCACACAGGAGCCTGAGGGTATAGACAGGAAAGTTGAGAAAATAGGATAAGATTACCTAATTCCTAATCCAGTGTTTTGGTTCTTTTCCTAACGTCATACATAGATTATATTCCCGTTTTTAAATTTCACCCCACACTAAATTAGAACTCCTACTGCTTTGTTTTTCCCTGAGAAAAGAGTAAATGGAAACCCATTTCAAAAGCATCTTCCATTGGGTTTAAGCTAGCTTTTTGTTACTTTAATGTTTTGAGTAGATTTCTGAAGGGAAAACAATGTGCAACTTGACACTGTCCCTTATTATTAATAAAAAGTGTAGAATAACTAATTGTATTCTGCCTAGACTTCTAATGTGCTTGCACATTTTTAAAAGTAATGATAAAATAGTGGGACTGAAAGGGACACTGAGAAATTGCCACCTCCTTTCCTTTGTTAAGAACTTCCTGATTTAAGAAAAGCAATGGTGGGAGTAGCTAAATTTCATTGAAAATGGAGTGGAGAGGATTTAAATCGAAAATAATAGAAAGCTTCAGCAGGCACAGGGAACTGTTATTTCCTGTTCAGAAGAGAGTAGAAGGAGATGTTCAAAATGAAATTAGTTTATACCTATAAAGGAAAGAACTATCTAAAATAACAACAAAGTCACCAAGAAGCACTAGAGCTCTTGTGGGATAGGTGGAACGGATGCTATACCCTTCGACAGGCGTGAGTCTGTTGGCCCTTCTAGCGAAGGGGACGTCGTCTCTGTCTCCACCCTCCCCCAGCCTCCCAGTTACACCATTTTGTGGCTTCTCCCAGTTGCCATTTCAATCTGCTTGTTCTCTTCTCTCCTTTAGTTCTGGAAAGCTGGCTTGATTTCACAGGGGAGTTGGAGCCACCGGATCCTCTTGCGAGACTGCCCCAACTTAAACGCCATATCAAACAGCTCCTAATCGACATGGGCAAAGTGCAGCAGATAGCGACTCTTTGCTCCGTATGACAGCAGTGAAAGCCGAATGAAAAGAACGTGGGTCTCTTCAGGCGATCGTTTTTATTATCCACATGACTGCTACGTGGATAGTTATAAAAAGCTTAGTGGTGTTTGGTCATTTACTGATTTGTGACATCAATAGGATGGCACCTTGGAAAGGAAAATGAAGAACAGCTTTATCAAGGAAGCTGATGTTAAAAAAAAGCTTATGAGCAAGCTACAAACGATAATGTGATCTATGCCAGGGATCAATGATGTGGAATATAACTTATGCCAAGGAAATCGAGTTGGCGGGAGTTTTGAATAGTTGCTTACACGAAGCTCGAGATACCTGTAGAAAGAAGTATGGTGTGTTTATGTAATTTTTAGTAGAGAGGTCCATGTAACGAAGCAGAATTTGGCCTACAGCAAAATTGTAGAGGAAATGGAAATTCCGGAGAGTTCCGTAAGGTTGCTTATAATACTACGAACTGTCTTCTCCACAGTTCGTCCGGCTGCACCGCAGTTTAGAGTATTTAAACTTCTATAGGATCATGAGCTGTTTATTAGGTGATGAATGTCCTTAACCAGAAAACTGACAGTGGAAGCCTCACTTCCCAGGAAAACAGTTGTGGAATTCTTGCTTCATTATGATCACATATTTAAAAACAAATGCCAAATAATTGGAATTTATTTTGCAGGCAGTAAGCTCATTGTAAACAGAATGGCTCACAGAAGGGTCAGCGTGCCAAATGACGATGACACTGCTGGGGAGAGAACGTTAAATACCCCGGGAGTTCTACTCCCAACGTCTTACATAGGCCGTCAGCCCATCAGACACCCGATGTCCTACACGGGACACACGTACTCTGTAGAGTTGAATGCGGTATTCAGGCATCGGCGTACAGCTTGATCCTGAGTATGCTTGGTGTTTGCCTTCAGATAAAAATTGTAAATAACCTCAGCTGGGATGAGGAGTGACAAAAATGTCGAAACAATTTGTGGCTGTGGATGTTTTTAACTGCTGGTAGTGGAATACTGGAAACGCTTCATTTCTGAAGATGAATTTTATTTTTAAAAAATACACGCGCACTCAAAATGTTTAGCTTTGGTCACAAATGGACAAATTTCTGAAACCAAAGGCGACTATAAGTTGCTGAGTTAGCTCTTGCTGGAGTTCGGGCCCGGGTCCTCCTGTCTGCCAGTGCCCTTGTGAGTCGTGTGCCACCATGCTTTGTGCGCAGGTGTGCGTCCGCGTGTGCTTGTTTGAAACAAACACTCAACGTACATATGTACATAGTCTACACATATTTATATCTACACATATCTAGTTTTATTACTATAGACTATAAGAGTTGGTGGTTAACATGAAATGTTACCTTTTAACAGACTGTTTTTAAAAATTAAAAATGTATGTACAGGTTTTGAAACTTTTTTAAAAAGGGGGAAAAAGACTGTTAAGAGGAGGCTATTTGATGATATAACACTTGAATATTTTATGCCTCATTCTGTTTATCAGTTCTAGCGATCTGTGTAAATGCATTGTAGAACTGATACACAGTAAACTTGAATTTATCTTTGATAAGAATACATGCCACTGTACATTCAGATATTATTTAAATTTGCAAACACACTGTTCTATATGTAAGGTACTGTATGTAAAACTCTTTATTAAAACTATTCCACATATCCTGAAATTTCAGCTTGCCTTTTTGTGGCCTTATATTTTGATGTAAAGACGATTAAAAGAATGTGCAAAACAGTCATTCGAAATTTTTATTGCCTTCTGACATTTTCCAACTTGATAAATGTGCCAAAGACCAACAGACATAACATAAGGTCCTGTGTATTTCACTCGTTCTGCATTCACTTTGTCAGAGGTCTTACTGGAAAATGAAAAGCTTTCGTAGAGGTGATTGGGATACTTGCTTAAATTTGCATATTAAAGTAAAAAAAAAAAATAATAGTGCCTGTATTCCATGTGTGGAGTAAACTTGCTAATGCCTGTATTTCAAGATTGATAACTATGTCTTTCATTCGTGTTAAAAAAAAAAAAAAAAAAAAAAAGAATGGCTCTAATCTTCTCTCTGTTGTGGTTAAATTCCGGATATTGAACTTGTATCTTTTTCTTTTCCCCTCCAGAGTGGAGCGAATAGCATCCTTAACCTATGGATAGTGGCGTTGCCTAGGTTCTTGTCACGTACACAGAAACCCTTTGTGCCCAGTGATAACCCGTCTTCTCAGTCCCTGGGAAGGGGCCACAGTTAAATCGACGTGCATTTGTTCTTGGAGTACATTGTAATCGGATCCCTTTACTTGTTAGATGCCAGCAAACGGGAGGCTTCCCATTAATACCTAGATTACTCGATTTTGGCTCTGCTTCTATGTGTCTGAATTGAAAGTCTGAATTTTTTAATTTAGATTTTTAATGAAAATCTGTGCCAGATCACTTTCATGCACATATCCTTTCGATATAGAGTATATCAGCAATTGGTTGACGTCTTAGCAACGAGTCGGCTGAGCCTTTCCTTGTTTAAGAATATGAATTCGTTTTTGAGAAGTCAGTCCATTGTGAGAGGTTTCAGATGAGTGGATTAAAAAATCTGTGTATTTAAGTATAAGCAGTAAACTAGAGAGGGTGTTTCTTGAAAAGATAACTTTCTCCTTGCTGCCCCGACAGAAGAGAAGGAACACTGGTGGGAGGGATCCTTAGCGTGGTAGTGGCCAGGGGAATCTGCTTCCTCGTACTTGTGTGTGGTCCTTCTGACTTATTTCCTTAAAGGAACTAGGTCCCTCTTCTCATTTCAGGTAAAGCCCTTTTTCCTGACACTCTTTGTGTTTTCACTGACTTATTTCCTCTCCACGTGCATGCTCTACACGTTTGAAACGAAGCACCCCAGTTCCCCTCCAGTGAGCTGGACCTTCTCCAGCTTCACTCTGCTGTGACATGACGTGGAGAGAACCCCCTTTTGAAACCCCATATCCGTCCCATCCCCGCCTGTGCTGACTTCTTCGCCGTCCCCCTAGTTCTTCAGCACATCTTGCTTTGGAGGGGTTACTTCTGGCCCCAGAGATGCTAACTTTGTTTGTCTTCATTGTAATTCAGGAAAATGGTCCCTGCCAGGCCAGAGGATTAAGACTTCCTGAGTGCCTGCTTCGTGCCGGTGTTGTACGTTACCTGCAGAACCCGATTTCAGGCTTGTGTGCTTGGGGGCAAACAAGAAGGTTCTCGGGACAGGGAAGCTGAAGCGTACAGACACTTAGACACCTGTCCTGGGTAAGGCTTCCGTGGCAGGTCCGAGATGCAAACCCCGTGTTCTTCGAGCCCATGGTCTCTTCCTAGCAGAGGTGGGTTTCAGTTTCCTTCTCTGAAGCCACTGGTGACCATTTCAAACCAAATCCGTTCTGTGTGATCTGCATCTCCAGTTCATTTCAATTCAGCCTCACTTGTAGACTGTGCTTGCTTCCTTCTTAACATTTCCCTCTTCTGGGAGGTTCTCCATTGTTGTGTTTCTACGAACCCCGACAGTTATTCAAGCTTCAGTTTCTCTTCCATAGTCCCCTGCGTTGTGCCTGCCGTGGAGGGGCGGTGTCAGTGAGCAGTGACCTGGCAGTCGTGGGGCAGGCATGAGCTTTGCAATCTGCCACTCGAGTTTTCACTCGGGCAGTTTAGCAGCAGCGATCTCTCTGAGCTTGGCTTTCCTTATCTATAAAATGTGGATAATGCCTAACGACTGTTTTGAGAGTTAAATGAAGCAAATAAGGTACCTAGAAGCTCTTATTAAATTATGGGGTTGCAAATTAAGTGTAGTCACATTTCAGTGTCATCCGTGTTCCAGCCATCAGGTTATGTGGCTGGATATAGAATCAATAAAGTCCTAGTCTACAGGCTAATAGAAACATAAAAAACCTATTTTTTTCAAAGAGATGGGTGGTATCAGTGCAAAGAGGCAAGAGAAAGGAAAGACAATTAGATTTGTAGGTGGAGGGGTTTGGGGAAAATAGAATACGTTAAAAAAAAAATGGTCTTTGGATGTTTTTTGACCTCTGCATAGGAATTTTGAAAAATTACAATCCACTCCCAGTACTTCTGTCTTGGGGTACCCCTAAAAATGGATCTGAAGACCAGACTTAAGTGTACTTACTGTATTTAAGTGATCGGCCAAGGAAGTTTTGGAGTGAGGAAGAGGGAAGTGGGGGAGTGGGGAGGAAAAAGCCAAGATCTGCACAGCAGAGGGCACTGCTATGGGCAATGGAGCTTTGATTCTGCCATTTAAGACTGTTCATTATAAATGTAAACAGTTGCAAAGGGCGTGATTTCGAATTTGTAAATATTGGCATATTGAAATCAACATGTTATTTTTAAACGTAATAAATCAACTGTTCTGTAGACCAACATCTATTTTCAAAACAAGCTCTTCCTTGACATTGGGAACTTCTACATGTTTGTATATTCTCTTTTTTGCCTTTCCCAACAGAGTGTTATCTTCCTTTATACTTACAGGTCTCTATCATTCTTTTGTACACACACACACACACACACACACACACACACACACACACAACAGTATATTACAACAGAAATGTATTTATAGGACTAATAATAGGACACTAATACTGCTGAATGGAAAATGGAAAAAATCTACAATTATAGTTGTGGATTTCAACCCTCCTTTAACACTGATTGATAGAACAAGTAGAAAATCAGGACATAGGACACGAACAAATGTGAACAGTCAATTTGGTGTAATTGACACAGAACGTTTGACCCAGCAACATGAGAATAGAAATTTCCTTTTCAAGTGCATATGGAATACTCAGAAGGATAGGCAGTATACTAGGCTATAAAACAGGCCTCAATACATTTAAAATAATTGAAATCATAATATGTTCTCTGACACAATGGAATTAAATGGGAAATCAATTTTGGATCTCTGGAAACCACCCCCCCTCTCCCAAATGTTTGGAAATTATCAACATACTTGTAAATCACCATGAGTCAAAGAGAAAAATTACAGGCAAAATTAGAAGATATTTTTAATTGAATGAAAAGTAAAACGACATGCTAAAATTTGTGAGTTGCAGCTCAAGCAGTATCAGAGGGAAATGTGTCGTTTGAAATGTTTATATTAAAAAGGTAACACGGATTTTAACAAGACCTATTGTGATCGTTTCACAATATCTACAAGTATCAAATCATGTACATCTGAAACTAATATTTGTCAATTGTACCTCAATTTTACACATTAGAAATAGAATGTAGTACAAAATCACCCATCTAAGATTTGAAAACTAGAGAAACAAAACTGAAATAGAAAAGGAAATATGCTGAAATCAATGACCTACTAAATGTGCAAACAATAGTGAAACAGTGTAAACCAAAATGATCCTTTGAGTAAACCAATGAAATTGGTTAACTCCTATGGAGACTGATAAAAAATTAGAAGGAAGAGGGAATGTTACTACGTGTCCAACAATTTTTAAAAAGGGATATTATGAAAAACTGTTCAATGCCAAATTTGACAGCTTATGTGAAATGGAAAAGTTCCTCAAAAGACACAGGCTACCAAAAGTGACTCAAAATGAAATTAAACAAATTGAATTTGTTAATAAAAACGTTTCCTCGAAACTCCAGGTCTGAATGTGAATTCTATGAAACAAGTAAGGAGGAAATCTCAATTTTGCACAAGCATGGACAGAAAATAGAGACGAAAGGAGCACTTATTTTTGGAGACCAACTTTGACCTCATGCCAGACCAGGAAAAGACACCAACAAGGGGAGGAAATCAGACCAATACGTGGTCTTCTTGAATAGACACAAAAGTCTTCAACAAAATATTAGCAATATGAAGCCTGTGACCCAAAGTAAGGATGATCTATCAAGATCAAGTTGAGTATTCCATTGGAATACAAATTTGGTTTAATATTAGAAAATCAATGTAATATACCGTCAAAATAAATATCTGTTCATCTCAATAAGCTAAGCAAAAGCGTTTCCTCAATATCAGCATTTATTCATGATTGAAAACTTGGAAGAGGAATAGACGGGACTTTGCATTCCGATAAAAGGCATCCACTGAGAAACTTACCCTTAATGTCATCGTGATAAGTGAATACTTTCTTCCCTAAGATGAGGAGGAAAGCCAGAACGTCCACTGCCACCACTTGTATCCAGTGTTGCTCCAGAGGTCCTGCTAGTGCAATAAGTCACTGAGCAATAAAGGAAGAAAAATGCAAGGTGTACTGCTTGGAAAGGAAGAAAGAAACATTTTGAAGTGACCTGCACATGAAAAAAAAAAAATCTAAGGACTCTACCAAAATGCTACTAGGACTAACATTTCTATACATTAGCAGCAAACTATCAGAAATTGAAATTTTTTAAAATACCATTTTCAGGGGCGCCTGGGTGGCTCAGTCGGTTAAGCGTCCGACTTCAGCTCAGGTCACGATCTCACGGTCCGTGAGTTCGAGCCCCGCGTCGGGCTCTGGGCTGATGGCTCAGAGCCTGGAGCCTGCTTCCGATTCTGTGTCTCCCTTTCTCTCTGCCCCTCCCCCGTTCATGCTTTGTCTCTCTCTGTCTCAAAAATAAATAAAACGTTAAAAAATTTTTTTAAAAATACCATTTTCAGTGGCATCAAAAATATGAATGCTTAGGGGTAAATCTGAACACATGTATGCAGAACCTGTACACAGAAAACTACAAAACAATGCCTAGAATAAAGATGAGATAAGCAAATAGACAAATATGCCAAGATCGTAGACTGGAAGAGGCAATATTGTCATATGTCAGTTTTCCCAGAACTGATGCAATTCCAAGCAAAATCCCCACAGACTTTCAGAAACAGAACTAAGCAAGCTGATTCTAGAATTCAAACAGAATTGCAAAGGTCCTAGAATAGCCTAACCCGTTTTGAAAAAGAAGAACAAAGAAGGACAATTCCTGATTGGGGGGGGGGGGGTTATTATAAAGCCATAGTCATCAACTGAGGGAAGAGGCAGCCACGAGATGCAGGTCTAGACCCATGGCACAGGATAGAGAATCCAGGAATAGACCTACTGAAATACGACGGGCGGTTGAATGGGTGAGAGTCTGTTACTCTCCCTCCTCGCCAGCATTTGGTGTTGCCAGTGTTCTGGATTTTAGCCATGCTGATAGGTGAACAATGGTATCTCGGTTTAATTTGCGTGTAAGTATCCAACTGTTCCAGCACCGTTTGCTGAGAGTATTATTTTCCCTTTGAATTGCCTACGTGCCTTTATCCCAAATCAATTGACCTTGAACACACAGATTTATCTGTGCCCTGGATTCTCTTCCCATTGCTCTACACGTCGATCCTTAAGCAAATACCACACTGTCTTGATTCCTGCAGCTTCATAGAAAGGTTTGGAATCAGTGTAATTCCTCTCTAAGTATGTTCTTTCTTCTTTCTTTTATGCCTGTTTATTCAGGGGGAGGGGTGGAGAGAGAGGGATAGAGAGAATCCCAAGCAGGCCCTGTGCTGTCAGCACAGAGCCCAACGTGGGGCTTCATTTCACGAACTGTGAGATCATGACCTGAGCAGAAATCAAGAGTCGAATGCTCAACCAACTGATCCCCCCAGGTTCCCCTATGTTTCTTCTCGAATGTTTTTGCCAATCCCATTTTTTGCATCTTCATGAAAATTCTAGGATCAGATCGTCAACTGTTAAGAACATGCTGGGATTTTGACAGGAATTGCACTCAATCTACAGATCAATTACCATTTTAACACTATTGAGTCTTATGATCCAAGAGCATGGTATATTTCTCCATTGATTCAGGATATCTGTTACAGTTTTCTCAGTAATATTTTGTAGTTTTCAGTGTTTAGATTTTGTGCTTTTTGTTGAATGTATTTCTAAGTATTCTTGGTATTGTAAATGGAATATTTTTTTAAAATTTCATTTTCATATGTTTACTAGGATATAAATAAAATTGTTTTTTATATATCTTGTGAGATTGTTAAACTCACTTAATAGTCTTAGAATTTTTGTATATTCCTTAATATTTTCTAAAGAGGAGGCTAAGAAGATTTTATAGGTGAATGGAATGTAAGATTCTGGATTGGATCCTAGAATTAAAAAGGATATTCATGGGAAAACTGGTGAAATTCATTGATGTCTGTAGTTAACAGTATTTTATTGATGACAGTATTTTATTGATTTTATTGATTTTATTTTATTGATGACAGTTTTTGTTTGGTAATCGCAATATGACTGTGTAAGATGTTAACATTCAGTGAAATCAAAGAGGGAACTCTACCGTTATTTCAGCTCCTGGATAGATTGAAAAATTATTTCAAAATAAAAAGTTAAGACACAAAGAATGAAACTTCATGCAAACTATGGACTTAGTTAACAATGTCTAAATATTGGTTCAATAATTGTAACAAATGCACCACAGTAACGTAAGATGTTACTAATAGAAGAAACTGGGTGTGAAGGAGGGTATATGGGGACTCTCTGTACTCAGTATTTCTGTAAATCTAAAATCTATTCTAAATTTGAAAAAGTTAAAGAGAAAAGAATGCGAGAAGATAATCACAATATGCCATCTCTGTAGTTTGAAAAAGGAAAGTATTCAGTGAAATTCTTACAGACCCACAGGCAACTTAAAGTTCATTCATCCTTGAAATACTCTGTCTCTAGGAGTCAGACTTGCCCAGGAAATCACGGAGGAAATGGAGTCATTAAAAATGTATGCTTCGATGAAATCAGCACAGGAGCATTGGGGGATTGAAAACAATCTTTAAAAAAAATAGGAGAACATGAGAATACGGTGTGGGAGAAAGGCTGAGCCCTTAGAAGGCCAAATGGCCAGATTTCAAATAGACAATGGGGCTTTGAAGACCAGAGCGGACTGGTCAGTCAGGGAGTGGAGTTGCATGGCAGATACAATTGCTTTGAAAAGAGGCAGTAGAGAGAGCAAATGCATGTTAACTGTTACCGAATCAGAACAGACTCGGAAAGATTGGGCCAGGCTGCACTCGGAGATCTCGGCTCTCTTGCTGGATTTCCCCAGAGACAGCACTAGGATCACGGGACTGTTGAGAAGTTCCATCCTGAGAGCCACCAAGTAAGAGTGAGCGAGCCGCTTGAATGGGCTACCGAACAGGATGCTTACAGAGAATCTAGACACATGTGGGAAGACTGGACCAGAAACAGTACAGAACCACTGACCCCATGGGTGGGGGGGGGGGGGGAGTTCATTACTGCCCGGCCAGGATGAAACTCCCGCTCCCCATGTGACCCTTCTGTCACCATCCTGGCAGAGGGCTGGGGAGCCTCCCTACGGTTAGGCAAAGGTGGGATTCTACGGTCCCCCCTCCGGCCTTGGCTAGCATGGGTGGAGGCGGAGCCACAGTTTTCTCTGTGAGGTTTGCTAGAATAGAGCAGTTATTGTGAAAAAGGTTTTGTCTTGCCAGGCTGCCCCTTTTCTGGACCGTCAGCTCAAGAAGCTTTCCTTGGTGCTTTTTTTTGAGCCCTGTGTTTATTGGTGTCTCTAGTTGCCGGCTTGTCCCAGTCTGAGAGACGTGAGGCAAAATACAGTCTGGGGACCTTACTTCCATATTGTTCCTCTGTCCTGAGGTTGCTAGCTGGCTGTCTTCCTTCTACCTTTCAGAGTCGTCTTCTGTCTGTTTTACGTATACTCTCCAAGGGTTTTAGCAGGAGAAATAGGGAGAAGTGTGTCTATTCTATCTTTCTGGAAGCAGACTTCAAGCACCAGGAATTCTGACTATTTCCTTGGCAACCCAGGAGGAGCGATGTGGCTCTGAGTCACTGGGGATGGGCTGGTGGGGGGAAGCTGTCCAAGGCAGTGGCCTGGTACCCAGCAGGAGGGCAGCAGGCTGGCTTAGGGGAGGGGCAGCTGGGAAGCAATTCCCCCCCCCACCCCCCGCGGTGGGCGGCGGCTGATGAACCTCACCAACAGTGGCATCTGACATTGTAGTTCACCTAATGTGAGTTTGCTCCTTGGTGAGTTACAGGTAGAGAAGACATCAGGGGGAGTTGTCACACAAAGGAACCTATTTCCAGCAAATAAGGAGATCCCCCCACCCCCACCCCCGGGCAGGGGATAGCTTCCAAAGTATGACTCCCCAGCAAGGGTGGATAGGTTCCTTTTATTTAGGGTTAGGCGACTATTTATTTGTCAAGATTTTATTTCTTACATGATCTCCACAGCGAGCGTGGGGCCGAACCCACAACCCCGAGATCAAGAGCCTATGCTTCTTCCCACTGAGCCAGCCAGGCCCCCCCAGGATGATGATTTAGATAGTAGGGCAGCCTTGTCATCGTAAGCAGGGGCGGGCACAAGGTCGCGGGTGCGCCTTCAAAAACCAAGCCTACACGTACATCGCGTGTTCGTGTTACGTTAACGACCGCGTGCTCCTCCTCGGTGGCGATTTTAGCATTACAATGAGACGACGCGAACCACAGGTCACTCCGGGGTCACTCCAGGGCCCTTCTGCGCAGGCTCAAGTTGGGGGTGGAGCTCCAACTGGTCTGGGTGGTCTGGGCCGTCCTCACTGCCGGAGGCGAAGTTTCTTTCCCCACCAGGAGGTTCTTTTGGCCTTGGGGTCTTTGGCCCCAGATGAGAGAGAGAAGCTGGAAACTGGAGCTTCAGAAAAATGTGGACAGAGGGGGGTGGGTGCAAGCAGGTGGGCCCAAAAGTCAGGGCCCGGCGTCCAGCTGGCGCGCGCACGCGCCTTTTGAAGCGATTTCCTCCTCTTTATTCCAGTTACTCGCCCCCCCCCCAGTCTTCGGTAAGCACCCCAGTATCGGGGCAGGAAGGCGCGGAGGCAGGGTTCTGGGTTCGACCCTCGGGCCCGTCTGAGCGTCGTGGGCTTGAGCCGGGAGCGGGTCGGAGAGGAACCCGGCGGGCGTCACCGCGGAGGAGGCCTGCGTGTCCCCGCGTGTCGCCCCGCTCGCGGCGGGGGCCGCTGAGTCACGGTGAGAAGCCGAAGCCCGGCGCCGGCCCCAGCTCCACGCTCTGCTGCCCGCTGGAGCCGAGCACCTCTCCTGCGCTCCCCGTGCGCACCCCTGCGGCCCCCCGCACTGCAGGGCTCCAGAGCCAGCCGAGCGGGGACGGCGGCCGCGCCAGCGGCAGTGACTCAGCAGGCGCTGGGCTCCGGGGCTCGGAGCAGGTCATGCCTCGCGGTGGCCCATCACCCGCCCTTCACTCCCGGGGTTCAGTTCTGGCGGGCAGGTCCGCCGCGCTTCCGGAAGAGACCGCCCTCCTTCCAGAGTTGGGGGACCTCTGCAGGTCGGGCCACCCCCCGGAGGTCAGGGGAGGCATCCCTGCAGATGAGGAGGCGCCGCTGTGTCGCCAAGAGATGTTGCTGGCTCCTCACAGTGAGGGGTGTAGGACGGGGGGGGGCCTGGTGGGGGAGGGGGATTCTTCCGCTACTGCCTCCTCCCGTAAATGCCAACACACCTACCCGCTCAGATCATCTTTGCCTCAAATCTGAGTCTCATTATCGGTTAGCCTCCCCAACCCTCCCACGGCTACACGGTTTTCAGGAGCGGCCTGTGGTCTTGATCTCCGGGACACCTGCGCAATAGTGACTGTCCCTCCCCACCCCCCCACCTCCCCCCACCCCGGCAGCTGGAGAAGCAGCCTGGTGAGGGGCCAGGGTGGGAGGCCCTGCGAGTCCAGAGCCCGTAGCCCAAGGTGCTGTGAAGAAGGGTCAGGCCCAAGGCGGGGGGAATGAGGGTTTGCTGGGAGGATGTGGAGGCCGCTGGCCGCCATGTGAGCGGAGAGGTTAGGATAACACTCAGGTTTGCCGTTAGAGAGGTGGAAAGAGCACAGTGAGGTGCAGCGCTGGAGGAAGCGTTGAGCAGCTTGTTGTTGTGGGGTGTGTTGAATTTGAAATGCCTGTGGAGCATCCGGGCCGAGTGGACCTGAAGCTTGGCCACCCATTTTGGCTGGGCTGGGGCTGAGACTGGGGCTGTGCAGAGCAGGATTTCTTACCCAGTTTTGGTCCCCCCCCCCCCCCCAAATAAGTGTAGAGTTTTACTTTCTGTGCTTTGTATCAGGAACATAATAATGATGCTGGTAACCAACCCTGGGCAGTTACACGCAGGAGCTGTGTTAAGCACTTGTCATATGTGAACTCTTGTAAGATTCATAGCACCTCTGTTGGGTAGCACGATCCACTTCCGCGGCTAGGACCCTTCATTTCCCTCCTGGGTGGGGAGCCTCCTCTACCTCCCAGCCTGGCCTCCTGGCCTTCCCCCACCCCGGGATGCCATCCCTCCAGGCTCTCGCTCGCCCTCTCTCTCCACCCAGGTCCCACATCCTCAGCGGGGCCTTCCCTTCCCATCTGCGACCCCTGCCCCTGCAGGGTATCCTGGGCACCTGTCACCCTCTGGCACCACGTCATTTGCAAGATGAGAAAATCAGTGATCTTAATTGCTAGCTTCTCTTGTGCACATACTCGTCGCCTTACAGCAACCCTATCGAGTAGGTACACATTATTATTCTCCTTGTATTTCTTTTTTCTAGAGGAGGAGGCAGGGGCTCGAGAGGATGATGTGAGTTTTCCATGGTCGCTCAGGGAAAGGACGAAAGGAAGGAGGCTGGCTTTGCTAAGAGAAAATACACTGCTTTACAATCTCGCTGTGGGAGACACGGTGCCTGCTCCCTTTAGGTTGGAGATTCTGAGGTCCTCGGACAGCAGGGAAGGGAGACCACGGATGAATAGGAACCTGTGTCTGTGTGCTTGGCTTCCCTTCCTAACGTTCTTACCTTCTATACTAGTCATTTTGCTTGTTCTCTGCCACAGTCTCATTGCCTGGAATAGTGTCTGTTGCTGTGGGGCTCTAAATTGTATTGGTGGAAGGAAGGCAGGGAGGAAGGTGAGGGAGGGAGGAAGGGAGGCAGGGAGGAAAGGGAGGGAGGGAGCGAAGAAGAAAGGAGGGAGAGAGGAAGGAAGAAGGAGAGGAAAGAAGGGAGAGATAGAGGAAATGCTTTGTTCCCGGGAGGCCTGAGCCTGTGGCCCACAAAACCATAGAACTTTCTTCACCTGCAAAGATGAATTTCAAAGTCACTCCACTAGGTTCTGCTTCACAGAGCCTCAACGAGATTCCCGTCCCCCGCTGGCCACACGAGTGTCCTCGGAGGGAGCAGACGCAGGTGGAGGAACCCCTTGTGACGGGCAGAGAAAACACAGCTTCCCTGAGTGCCCGTGGGGGTGGGGGTGGCGGTGCCAGAGAGGCTCTATAAAGGCTCCCTGGCCAGAGCCTAGGGCAGGCAGTGGCTTGTTCGCCTTCGTCCCCGGACCGGCCCACAGAAATGGTCCTGGCCCCGTGGGTCCTCAGTCTGCTGGGCTCAGCCTGCTTGGTGTCGGCCAACATCTTTGGTGAGTTGCGGGTTCAAGGCCAAGGAGCAGAGGGTCTGGAGGGAGCTCTCGGGTCACAACCCCGACGTCAGCCAGGCTCTGCCCCTGCGCCTGGGAACATTTGTGATCTCGTTTAGTCCCCACCATGTCCTGCGGACGGTTTTCCGATGAAGAGACAGTGGTTTTGCGAGTCGGACTAAATTACCTTGAGGGCACGGAGCCAGCGACTGGTGGGAGAGGAGGTGGGAAATCAGATCTTCCCAATTCAATTTGAGCTCAGCCCACCCGATCCTGCTAGTGAGTTTTGGCGTTGATACCTGGTTTTATTCCCTGGGCGGTCTCGGGCCGAGGTCATCCACACGAGGCGTTTGAGAAGTCATCGGCAGGTAGTGAAGAAAAACCACAGCAAACCAAAAACCACATCCACCTGTGCAGTGAAATAGAGGCGGTGAAAATAGCGAGCAGAGGTTGGCCACTTGCTGTGGGACTTTGGATAAGTGTCAGCTTCCCTTTTCTGTTTGCAAAAGGAAGACAGGGACACTAACCTCCCGACGCGGTCGTGATCTCCAAGTGCGTGCCTGCATGTCACATGTGTTCTCAAAGGAGAATACGACGAGGACGCCTGACCCACAGGGGTTGCTGATTAATTTGCATTCCTGACCTGGGCCGGGAGAGGCTCTGCCCACAGGGAACCGCTCGATAAATTCAAGAACACCATCTTTCTGGCGCTCGGACGCCGTGGTTCGGGGGAACGCAGTGTCTGAGGGTTGACTTTGAACCCTTCTCTTTGCAGCTGTGTGACCTCGAGCAGGTGGCTTTCACCGTGTTAGCGCCACGTGGGGAAGATGCAGGTCTCACCTCCCAGGAGAGGTTGAGGGTTAAATGAGCTAAAGTCCTACTTGGAAACGTGTGAATCGCGAACTTGGAAACAGCATTGCGAGTCAGAACGTAATTGGCGCTGATGATGCCAGGAGAGCACCTGTGCTGCAGGGACCCCCATCTTTGCTACTGGAACCCCATCCACACCCCTCCTTGACGAGCTGCTTCCCTTTTCCCAGAATACCAGGTGGACGCCCAGCCTCTACGTCCCTGCGAGCTGCAGAGGGAGAGGGCGTTTCTGGAGCGAGCAGACTATGTTCCTCAGTGCGCAGAAGACGGCAGCTACCAGTAAGGCTGCCCCAGCCCTGTGCACTCCTGGGGCCCCCAAGAGACCTTAAGGCCCCGCACTGAGCCCTCACCAGCCCCCCTCCCCCCCCAGAAACGTGACAGGTGGCTACTGTCAGGTGGGTGGGGCCCGCCTCTAGGTTCAGTTCCCCCAGGCTAATGGACTGGATAATATGACCCAGAGCGCCCCGGTCCCTGTTTCATCCCAGCCAGGGCCAAGAACTTCTCTTCTTTTCCTGCCCAAACTTTCAGCCCATTTCCTTTTTTTTTTTTTTTTTTTAATGTTTTGAA